GGGGAGCGAGCGGTGGGGCTGAACGCCGCAGCGACAGACCCGGCCGCAAAGTCCGGTGAGTCTCTAACGAGCGCACCTCAAACAGAGGTTGCTAGGGTGAGTAATTGTTTAACATAAAAATGCCCTTACAAAGGAAGAGGCCTTGTGGGTTTTTCTTCTATTTTTTCGGTTCTCATTATTATTTTTAGCTGACCAGGTTCCACACTGTGTTTGAGGGTACAAATTAGAACTCTTGTACTTTCTTCCAGGTACTCATAGGCTGCTTTTAGATGTGTGCTACCTGTTAAAGATGAGGCCAGTTGTTTAAACGCTTAAAAAAAATAAAAAGGTTGAATCGATGTGTTAGATAACCGTAGATTGTGTCGTTTGTTCACTCTAATAATTCCATTTTTTTTTACCTTGCTCTGGAGTTAATTCTTAACTCAGTGATAAGCTGTTTGGCTTTAAGAGTATATAGGTTGTGTCTGAATTAAAATGACTTAAATCCATACACGAATGTTTTGCAAGTTTGTTTCCTCCTCTAATTGAAAAAATATAATTGATGTAAAGCAAAGAATTTACTATAGCAGAAGTTGTGTAACAGCATGACATTTGAATTGGTTTTCTGTATCTTCCTTAAAGGCGTGACGTTATGTTTGAACGTAATCTTAGTCTTTAAGAATAAAATGTGGACGGTTTGTCTTGTTGTCCAGACAAGTTTTTTGGTGTTAAAACTGGCTGATAGCTACTCTAAAAGCTATTGAAGTAGGTAGCAGATATGGTTAATGCATTTCTTGTGCCTTGAGGTACGTCTGGAACTGATTCCCAGGCCAGACCAAAGAAAGGTTCTAGTGCTCAGATACTGCTCTTATCTCTTCTGGGTTTTTACTTCTTGAAAACTTTCACTACTGGCTAAATTATCACCTCCAACCATTTGGTTTGAAAGCTGATTTAGTGCCAAATCATTGCATTGTTTAGCCTCTTTAACATTTTAAAAGGTTCTGCATATTTGCATTTTCAGACCTTGTATCCTAACTACTGTACATTTCATAAAACAGTCATAAGAGCTTTGAGGCAGAGGTGAATCCCACAATATCCTGAACTGTACTTCATGTTCTTACAAGTTTTGACTTTAGAGGGATAACCGGTGTTTGAAAAACTGTTGTGCTTTTTACAGGATTGGAGTAGTTTTTCACAAAAGTTAAAACTTAATTTAAATGTAATGTTAACTATTAGTCTTGAGGTTAAAGCGTGTAAGGATGGGCGAGTTCAGTAATTAGCGTTTTAATCTTTGGTTGGATGGTGACTTGGAAAGGACCAGAAGGGATTGGGCTGGTTGGCTGTTTTCCCTTTTTTTATTGTTACCCAGGTTGTCCTCTGGAGCCAAAATCTGCGAGATGAGCAGAACCCATGTGGATATCCAGAGAATCCTGTTGTGTGGGATTGGGGGTTAGCAGCCTTTGCACCTCTGTTGTGAGAGGCTGCAAATGGAAATGTGAGATTTTTTAGGTTCATAATAGCTCACAGTTTAGACAGCCAGAGAATTTAGGGGATGTATCTGTCTCTACAGCTTCAGAATTTGTGTGGTATTTTAAATGGCTTCTGGTGTATTCAAGTGACATGTATTCATCAAAAAGCTAGTGGGGAAAACCCTTCCAATATAAGGAGAACAAGAGTTGCTTAACTGTGTTAATGTCCTAGGCCAAGCATTAAAACCTAAGTTTGCGGGTTGGGTACACCAGAGGCCAGTTGTCTGAAGGGTTTGGAAATAGCCCAAATCAAACATCACAATCAACTAGGCATAGCTAAGTTGTGATAGTATAGTTCACTATGATTTTTAAATAAGTACTTTAGGTATCCAGTGTTACAGTGTGTAACTCACAGATCTAAAAATCAAAAGCCTTTTCATTGTTTAGGATTCTACCATTATTTTTCTTAGGGGAAGTGGAGAGCAGGTTGCTTGACATGTGTTTTAGAATATCTTTTTTTGTTGTTGTGCTTCTTTGTACCAAAGCTAAAATGGAGGGAGGGAGAGAGCCAGGTTGGCATGGATACATGACATAATATTAAACCTGGCATTCTGGTTTTGTATCTTTAAATTGGAAATTATTTACATAATGTACAGTGGTAGCAAAACTGTCTTTTTATCAAAGTTTTAGGCTATATTCTTCAGCAGAAGAGCACTTTACAAAAATCCTTGGTGTGTTTTCATAGCCCTTCTTGAAATGGCAGCAGTTTATATTTTTTCTTGATACAGAGAAAATAACTGAGATATCACTACTGTTGAAATTTTCTAATTTTTTTTTTTAGTTTTATTTAATAGGTTGATTCTTGCTTAGTGACATTGGACAGCCTGACTAAACATAGACAACCTTATCTGCAAGGTTCTGCATGCTCAGAACAGTTTTTGACTGGCGAAATGCTCAGGGAACAGCTTGTAATATTCACAACTTTTTTATAAGTATTTTCTTTTGGAGGTTTTTAAGATGTGGCAAACAGGTCCTTATATAGTATTGCCAAAGCTGAGCTGCAGAGCTTGATAAAGTTGCTTTCACTTATGTTAACTAAGGAGCCTCCTACCTTGTAAGATTATGGAGCTGTTTCAGCTCGATAACGTTTTAGGCTTGACTAGCGTATGTCACAAAAAATAAACTAAGCTATCACAATGCAGCTTCTCCTGTATTTTTTTTTTTCCCCTTCATTTAATTTCCTTACTAAATTAAAACTTGGGTGGGGGGAGGCAGCAATGGTGCTTGGAAGTTTCACAGAGCCTAAAATTGGCGCTAAGAATTCAGTGACTTCTAATGTAAAAATTCTAGAAGTTCAGAATTCCTTTTGTTCCCGTTTCAAACAATGCAGCTTTGTTCCTAGTGTAGAGAAACAAAATAAGTGAAACTAGTCAAACTTTAATTGCCCAAACTGTCTGACAGACAAGTAAACAATTGCTGCTGGTTTACTTAGCTTTTTGCTGGATTGTTAGCAACCGCTAATTTTTAAGACTGTTAAAATTGGGGTTAGCATGAGAGATGCAGCTGGGGGATTTCTTATGTGAAAACAGCCCTGTTGAGAAAGGGATGCTTCGAAACGGAAGATACTCTGAAATTGTAGGAATTACTATACTAGTTGCTATCATTAGTCATCTAGTGAAAATTTTGAAGTAAGCAATTAAAGTATTAACTGCTATGGAATTAATTTTTTTTCCGAATTCGGTGAAACTATCTTAAGATACGCAAGCCATAGTGTTTTTAAAGGTTAAAAAATGTAGAGTGCACTGTCATCGTGGAATATGTTAAGCTTGTAACAGACTTAATAGGTTGTGAGACCATTTTAGGATGGTTAGGGAAGATGTGTTTTTGTCTGGTGTTGGCGTGGGTTTTTTCTAGCCTTGATTTTTTGCTTTGAGTCTCAACTTCAGAGAAGGCCGTTCCTTCATATATTGCAAGAGTAGACCAGAAGTTATCTTGAGTGACTTTTGTTTTGTCCTTGTTCTTTTATAAATAAACGGCTCCAAGCTTCTGACCTTTCCTGCCTCTATTTAGTATAGCTACTTCTCAAATTTTAGTCATACCTTCTTTTTGAGATGGCGAGATCAAAACTATATACAGGCTAAATGACATAACATTTTTTTCCTTTGTACATTTAGTCATTTGTGTTTATTTGACCATGGTAAGCAAAGGTGCTGCGCTACGTGGAAGAGCATTCATGCATCTCTCCCACATCGATCCTATAAAATTAAGATTGTAAATTGTTTTAGAGCTGCTAGTTCGATGAGGTAACCTGTGTTCATTCCCCTTCTGTAGAGAAATTCACCTTCAGTGTCTGCTCTGAAGTCCTAACACCAAAAGTACCGATAAGCTAAAACTTCATCTACAGGCTTAATATTTCTCCTCACCTGTTTCTAATTAGTAAACAATGCTGTATGCTTCTAAACTTAGATATGATGATTGCCATGAGTATTTTAGTCTGAAAATTGAGGTTTTATCCTACCCAGTTAATATATATATGTGTAGCCAGTTGATTTTTTTGAGACAGGAATCTTAATCCTTCTGAAAGGTAAAGTTAACAGTCAGTTCTTACTCGTTTTTCTTGACCTGTTCAAGGTTCTAGTGGGAGGTGACATCCTTTGAAGGAGCTGCCATGTTAATTAAATGTGTTAGATGTCTCAATATTTCTTTATCTTCTGTACCTGATAACCACAAACCAGGCCATTCTGCCAATTTACCTGATAAAAAAAAAAAAAAAAAAGTAAAGTAGTCTAGTTCTGATACAGCAAGTGGTGTTTAATGACACTGACTGTGATCAGTAGCAGTCCCACCAATTTTTGTTTGTTGCTTTGGTATTCTTAAGGCTTAGAAGTGTATCTACCCCATGTCACAGCACCTTACATCCACTACTTCTGTTGTGGTGCCACCATCTCAGTATTAGTCCATTAAAAGAAGGTTTCTCCCTACTATTGGACAGACTAAAACTAGTAATAATAAGAATTAAGTGCCCGAGGCTTAACTTATTACAAGAATTACCTGTTCTGCCGAATGTGCTAAGTAATATGTGTGACCAGCCAGCTGGATGTGGCTTAGCTGTACATGTAGAGAAGAATAAGGGAGTGATTGCTGTTTTGGAGTCTGTGAATGAGTGTATCTGAAATGCCAGTAAATATTTTTGTCCTCTTATCTGCTTTAGAGTAGGTGTTCAGCTTTGTTAGTTTCTGATGTCTTGCTACCAGTGGGTGGTACAGGGGGTGTGGAGAATAAGTGAAATAAATTTCTGCTTGAGGTATATCTTAGAATATACAAGTAACAGCTCAAGTTGTGGACTCAATTTTTAGGGCAAATCAGCTTCCTTCTTAAAGAAGCAAAACATGTTCTCTTCCCTCTTCTCTTAAAACATAGAGTATTTGTCTTTTTATTAAGTTTTTACACTGTCTAGAATAGCTTTTTGAAATTAAATTTGCTTGTCCTACACGTAAAGGAGTATGTGACCTGATGTTAGTGTCCTATTTAATATGTAGTTAACATACTCTAATAGTGGATCATTTGTTCTTTCCACTATGCAAACCAGAATTTTTCCAGTGAATGAATTACTACCTAATGTAATGGCAAGCAAGAAATAAAAGCTTCATTTATAAGCTTTTTATCACTAACTTGTTGTTACAAGATAAACTAAATGAGTTTTAATTGTGCTTCCCTCGTGCAGTGTGCTTCACTGACAAAGACTTATCATTAGCATAATACAGTCTTACCATTTCTGCCTCTTGGTGTTTCTTGTCATGCTTAAAAATGTAGTGTGATGAAGACTAGAAAAAGCATCTTTTTAAGTTTATGGGTATGATAGCATTTTGTGTAGCAAACTATTTCATTGGTCCTGCTTTTAAATGTGATGGGTATATTGAAAAGATTCTAAAAAACAAAATAAGAGGGGGGAAAAAAAAAATCTACAAATGAACAAAAGAGCCAAAGCAGATCTGGAAAGTGAAACTGGGTGTACAAGAGACTGCATCGCATATGCCCTTAAATCCATGAAAGGGAACTCTAAATGTGTGTGTGTGTGTGTGTGCACAAAATAAATAAAAATTAAATGTAACTTGTATTTATGGTTCTGATTTTCTTCAGAGATGGTGGAGCCAGGACAAGATCTGTTGCTTGCTGCTTTGAGTGAGAGTGGAATCAGTCCAAATGATCTATTTGATATTGACTCTCCGGACGTGGTTCTTGCAAATCCAGCACCAACTCCAGCTGTACAGCAGGTTAAAACAAGAACATAGTCATTTGCTAGAGGACATAAGAGCTTGTACTTGATGCATGGGGCGGGAGGGTGG